CGGCGCTGTTGTTGAATACAGTGACTGATGATGATTATGTAATTTTGCTCCACGTGTACGTATATGGTTCGCTCTTCTCGTTGTCTCTTCTTCTTGGGCACAAAACAGCAAAGTGCGTATGGAAATGCTTGGTTTTTTTTTTTTTTTTTTTTTCCCTTTGGAGAAATAGAAGAGAAACGCCAACGAGATTTCGACGCGGCGACTTTGATTGAACAAACAGCCGAGCGGTGCACGGGTCAAAGACGCTCCCAAACATCCCTCAGCTGCTTGTGTGTGTGTGTGTGTGTAGAGCACACTTTGCCGAGTAAGCGCACCTTCTCTCGCTTTGATCGGGCGCTTACGTATACCCAGCGGGTCTTAACCCATTTTCCCCTCTCAAAGTTGAGCCCATTGTTTAGTCGTTTTTTTTTTTTTTTTTTTTTTTGGGTACTCGACTCTCTTTCGATAATCACACGCTATGGCTCAACGATAGTATATACTAGATTTTGATTCAATGTGTATCTTTTAGCTGCGTTTCGCGGTATAACGAACGACTCGAAGGGTTAACGAGCCCGAGCCCCTCGAGAAAAAACAAAGAACAACACAACGCACGTGTCAATGGCTGGCCTGCTTTTTCGCCCGAGTAGCGCATCGTGCCTAGTTTGCTGGTGTTTTTTTTTTTTTCCAGGGTTAAGCAAAAGAAACGTGGGTTTAGCACGTATACGAGTAACAGGGGGGAGGGGGTTTGAGAGACGATCGATACGTCGGAGTGTAGCCACGTAGGGTCTGTTGACTAGAGATAGCCCCGTAGGTTGCTGAATGAGCGCCGGTAATGAAACGCGTCCGGCTGGCTGGTGGCCAAGGCAAATTTCGCGGAGGGACACGCGAGCGGATGGATGCTCCGATCGCACCTGCTGGCCACATGGACAATGGAGATTTTTTTTTCACGGGATGTCCGGCCACGTCAGGCTGTTACTACTTACATCCGACCAAAACTGTATTTGAAAAGAAGAGCAGGCGCAGATTTTTCCATCGGACGTCCGACCGTTTCAGGCTGTTACTACTTGCGTCTGACCAAAACTGTGTTTGAAAAGGAGTACAGGGACAGGTTTTCTTCACGGAACGTCTGATCAAGTCAGGATATTACTACTTACGTCCGACCAAATCTAGGGGCTGTGAATTGACGTTGGCTGAACTTTGAAGTGTAGCTAAGAAATAAAAAGAAATTTCATCGCGAGATAAAAAAGAAAATATATGGGGGGGAAGGATTGAAAAGTTGTTCTCGGGAGGGCAACTAATGAAAATCGACGTTCGGTAATCGATAAAACGATTACGCCTCCGGAAAACTTTTCTCTTTAACCGCCTCCTCCCCCAATCTTCGGTCTCTTTTAGCGACGAAACCCGAACAAGGGACGGCTGTTAACTACTGCACCTCAGCGCTCCATATACTTCATCGGCCGTGTGTTTCTTTGGCTCGTGCCTCTCACACAAAAGACCGTAGCTGCAGTGTACTGTGAGCTGTACGTGTAGGGGTGCGGCTTTTCCTCCGTTTGTCTCTTACTCCCCTTCCAACTTTTCCCGCTACAGCCTCTCACCGAGTGCTTTTCTTGTCGACGTATCGCAACGACACGATGTGTTTTTATCGCCCCGTCGGTGAGAGGAGGTGTGCTTCGTTTCGAGAAACGAAAGGAGGAGAAAGTCAACGCTTTACGTTTGCATGCGCTTTTAGCGATCGATGGATGATTTTTTTCCGTACAATGACCAAGTTGGATGGTGAATGGGTTTTGGGATGCTGAGAAACCGGGGATTTGCCAAAAAGTCCATTTTGGAACGAGTTTTACCAAGGATACCATAGTTGGACCGTATTTTTTTTTAATTTTCGATTATCGAACAACGGTGTCTTTTTCATATGTTAGGAAAATTAAGATCTCTCGCGTTTCTTTAAATAAAAAAAAATAATAAATTTAAAAAAAAAACAAAAATAGAGATGTATTTTTAGGAGAATTAAAATATTTTCTTCGCCTTTGTAATATATGCGGATGTTTAACGCCAACTTAAAAAAGTACATAAGAGATAGTTTGAATATTTCGAGTTTAAAAAAAAACAGGAGGATTGCAGCAGGTAAAGAGCCCAAAGTTGTCTTTTGTATGGGTAAAGTTATTTCTATCACTGATAAACCTTATGATTACTGACACACAGAATCGATTTGACCATTATGACCGTTTTCGATTTTACTGTACCGATTGTACTTCACCAGCTGAGCTTGAAACAGTAACATTTAGGTACTATTATAACGGTATGGTTTCAATAACCACATTAATGGATCACAGACTTTGTTATTTAATTCTTAGTAAGATTAAGAAAAGAAGCGAGGAGCGAGACAATGAGAGAGGAAACAGGTTCACCAGTTGGCTCCCCGTATTTTAGTAACTCTTTCGAGTGGTCGAGGAAAATTAATACTATCGTATCGTCGCTTAACATCCCAAACGAGCGCTCACCCCTTGGAGCTAAAAAAAACAGAATAAAGGAGCGCGCGGCGCTGGTAATATTTAAAGAGGGTGCACTGCTCCCGGGGTTGCACGAGATACCAGCAGCATTTCGTATTCCTCTTTGGCGCGAGTCCCTTTGTGCGCTTGCGAAAAAAAAAAAAAAAAAAAAAAAAAGTAGAGAATGCAGACGCATCCATGCATTTGCGCCCTTTGCCCTGATATATCGAAAGGAGCGCGCGTACGCTTGTCTTTCTTTTCTTCGCGAGAGCACAAGTATAAAGGGCGCCAAAGACAACTGAGCTACTTTTGCACTACAATAATCCACTCTAAAGAATAGCCGTCTCTTCATCAGTGCTGCCTCTCCATTTGTTGTTGCTGTTCCCCCACCTTTTTCCAAGACAACGCGTTCGCAGAGAAAAAGAGCCACCTTTCCTCTGTTTTTTTTTTTTTTTTTCACTCTTTTCCCCATCCCCCCAGATCAAAGGCAAAATTTTAACGACGCGATCGCGATGTCGCTCGTCTTTTACGATCCCGCAATAACTTGTACGCGCGCTTTTACGAGGCCCCGCGCGCGCGAGCGTCGTTATTTTTAAAAAAGCGAGCAATTAACGCATAAGAGTACACGGGAGGGGGGCGAAATTTACGAGCCCAAGAGGTAGCGAGGGGGAAATGGCGCGTTGCTCGCATTAATTAGGGAAAAGCCGAGCTTCGACGGCGGTGTAGAGCCGAGGCCGTGAATTATCGTGCCCCAAAGATTGGAAATTAATATTAGACCGTTTAACGGCGGACGCTTTGAACTCGCGGCCAAGTCGTTTTCGCGTGTTTCATCTCGGCGGTTTCGTTATCCCTTTCCCGGATTAAAAAAAAGGAATGAAAAAACACCCACCCATGACGGAACTTTCGCACAATGAACGACACCACTGTCGTTGCTGTCACTGGAAAGCTAGGGAAGCTGGTTTTTTTTTTTTTTTTTTTGTTGCTCTACCGAATTATCGCCGTAGACGTTAAAACACGCGGAAAAAAGCACGCTTTTCGATCGACCCTAATAAACTCTCCGCTCATTGTACACACGACGGCGTATAAAAGTGAGGGGGTGCTCTTGAAAAAAAGCCTCGACTTTTATCGGCCATAAAAACACTCGTTCTCGGATTTGGCAAACGACGGGCACGGCTAAATCGAATCGTCACACGCACTTTTCGCGCGGCTCATTAAAAAGCTCGACAACAATGGAGGAAGCGATCATTTCCGGGAGACCCCGGAGATGAAAAACTCAACCAACAGCCGTTAAAACGAGGAAGCCTCTTTCTGGCTTGGGAGCAAAAAAAAAAAAAAAGGGTTCATTAGAGGGCCCGCTGCATCGGCATCTCGATATCCGGCAGAGAGGAGTCGTCATCGGGAAGAAAGGAAGGATGTAGCTCTCTCAACGCGTGCAACCCTCGTATAAATCACGCCCCCCCCCCCATCCCCCTCGATATGACTAGACGGCTTGTCTATAAATACATCCGCGTGATTTACCATGGAGTGCGTGGGTGTACATCCGTGCCCCGTGTACCGATGCGTTACCTCGGTGTTTCAATACACGTACACACTTGGGAGGAGGGCGAAGGATGTACGTGTGAGCGGAGACTGGACGACGAGTGGTATAAAATCTCGCGATGCCGTGTGCACACGGACGACGGCTAATCAACCAGAGAGCACTTTCTGTACGGGCTGTATACGTTGTACCTATGGCCTTTTCCCATAGGAGGAAAAAAAAAAAAAAAAAAAAAAAATAGAATACGAATGCCTTGTTCGGTGAGCGCTGTTACGGCAGATTTCTCGTATCGACATGAGCCTCCCTTCATGTACGTATATATATGCGTGTGATTGGAGGGGAGCTCCAAAGCAAAGCACGTCCATACACGGACACGGCACGTATATAATTACAAGGGAGGCGAGCGAAGCACTCGCGTCCATTTGCATAGGGCTCCGTCAGCCCGGGGCTTAAAGTATATACACCAACACGTGCCATATTGTGGGTAAACTCCGAAAACTCGAGCCGTAAGCTCTGCAACAATATATCGGGAGATTGGGGGTGGGGGGGTGCACCGGTGGTGTATCAGTAGCCGAGCGCATGAAGTGTATATTGTAGCCGCGACGACGGCCCGAGGTTTAACGAGCGCCTCCCTCTCGTGTGTGGGTGTACATATTACATGACCTACCCCCTTTGGGCTCTCGGCGCTGGACAAAGTGCTGGTAAGCTGTGTCGGATAAATCGTTCAGTTTTTATAGGTTTTACATGCGGAGAGACACGGAAAAGGAATATTTATTTCTCAATATACGTGTGTACGTGCATGCGGTGCAAAGAGTACACTCGGTAAACTGTTTGCAAGTTTTTTTGTCTCTTCCCTACCTCGTCGGGCTTACACGTGGATACAATGTGCTTATGCACATAAGGTATTAGCTCTACTTGGATATGGGAAACGTGTAAGTTATAAATAGTAATAATATTATAGGTGTAGGTGGTGTGTGTGTGTGTGTGTGTGTACTCACCCTCTGCGCCTTCCTCTTGTCGGCCCGTTGATTCTGGTGATAAATCCGACTGAAGTTGCTGACGATGACGGGTACGGGCAGGGCGATCACGAGCACGCCGCTGAGCGAGCACACGCCGCCCACTATCTTGCCGGCTATTGTTTCCGGCACCATGTCTCCATACCTGTATACCCAAACAACAAAAATCCCCATAAGTCAAGGAGTCCTCCGTACGCCGAGGGATGGGGGAAAAAAGTGCCTGCCGAATTTGCACCAAATTTCGCTTGTATGTGTAAACGGCCTCTTTTTTTTTTTGTTTTTTTTTTTTTTTTTTTTTTTTTTTTTTTTTNTTTTTTTTTTTTTTTTTTTTTTTTTTTTTTCAGATGTATTATTTAGAAAACAAATTTAGATGTATTATTTAGAAAACAAATACATAATTGAATGTATTATCAGTGAAGATATTTAAAAATGGAATGTTACAGTTACGAACCACACCATAAGTACAAGAAACCGAGTTTCCATAGTCGGCAGCGCTCGTAGCAGAGTGGGTAAGGTACTGGACTCATATGCAGGAGGTCGAAGGTTCAAATCTCTTTGTTGGAAAATGCTTTTGTTTTTTTTTTTTTTTTTTTTAGCTCAGTCGATTTCGTTAGGAATCGTACACGTGGTTGATTAAAAATTGTCTCCAAAGCGGGTGTCGCGATTGAAACAACAGCACCGAGAGCTCGTTACCAGCTGGCCGATCGCGAGCGGTAATGCAGCTGTCACCTTGACACGCGCCTAACTAATTCATGCGCTGCTTGCCGATCGATCGGTCGTTGCAACGATAACTGCATCCGCGCCGAGTTTAGACGCGTCTAAATACAGAAAGAGTATATGTTTGTATATATATATATATATATGACTTTATCTTGTGTTTTCGGGAAACTCTTTCTTTTCGGAGGAGGGGAAAGCAGTCGAGACGAGAATTGTCATTTTTCATGCCTCGGAGCGGAGCGCGAAAACATCTTCCATTCGTGTGTGTATTGTATACGTGCTCCAGCGTCGCGACTCTTACGTAACTGCAGCGTCTTACGTGCGGCTCCTAGTAACAGATAGCGGCCCGCGTATACATATTACATCCTCGTCGTGTATGAATTTATATGTGTACAAACTTTGCTGGGCTCATTTTTCACCGTCGCGGGAAAAAACGAGTCGCTGGATTTATACGTGTGTATATGGTTGAAAAGTGTATACTCTGATCGTTCACTAAGGGTGCAATCGTAGGTTTTTTTTTCGGGGAAAATTCGAGAAAGGTTTTCTTCAGGGTGCGGTTTTTCAATTTGCATGGAAATCGACTGTCGATGGACGAAAATTAAAATTAAATGGATCACGGACGGGATGCGCACAGGATTATTCGTTGGCAGATCCATGAATAACCAAACGAGTGAATTTCATGCAAAAGACTCGCGAGCTTTTCTAGAGAGAAACGCGTTATTTATGCGCGCAACAGCTTTTTTTTGGGAGGGAAAGTTATTTCATCATTTGAAAACAATAATTTCATGCATTTTTTTATAATGCTTCAGCAGTTTAAATCGAAACATTGGTTTCCCCCAATAATTCATCTGATTAAAACTCCCCAATAATTAATCCGATGTAGCGTTAACGAATGATATTAACTGTTTTGAGCGACTAACAAGTGTATTTGGTATAAGTATTAGACGTATTTTTACAAATTATTCTTTATTAATCGATATATTTTACATCTTGTTTTTCAAATTCAACAATCAAATATGTGTTATTTTTTAGCGGCTACAATGATGGATCTTGGCGTAGCCGAGTACACCTTCAGACGTATATACTGAGTGTAGCAGTAGGTTACAACTATTATTTGACAGAAAAATGAAACAACAACGAAATGACATCCTGGGATGTACGTTGGATCGAAGAAAGTAATTAATTTTTTTTGTTTCTTTTTTATTTCACCCTTAATTTTTGTATTTTCCAGTAAAGATTGCCAAATCAATTATAACAGAAACAAAATGACCTTCAATTTTGAAGATAGAGCAAAAAATGCACAGCTTTCTTTTCTTAAAGGGACGAACTACACCAAAAAGAACCGAAACGCGAACTCAAGGCCCCGATCGTAAATCCTCCTCGGATCGTTTCGCAACAGCTGCACGCGACACGCGAAAAGCGCGATTTTTCCTTCCGCACTTGATTTAATTTGCAACGCGAAACGCCGGCTTTAATTTCATCGTCCGAAGAACGAACGCGCATCGACAGCAGCAGCGGGAGGGGAGGGAGACGAGCAATTTTATTAAATCCTCGCGTTCTCTTTCCTCCCCAAAAAACAACAATCCTCGAACTCCGTATATATAAAATAGTACACGGAATCACCACTGGAACACCCCCCCCCCAACGCAGAGGGGAGGGGGTGTAGCGTCTGGAGCCAGAAGCTCGAAAGTTTTATACTTGTGCTGGCAACTTTAAGGCTCGGCCGAGTAAACAGCGTCGTAATAATAAAAGAAAAATCCTGCAGCTAACGGTAAATAAGTAAGTTTGATCGGCCCCGGGGAGAGTATACAGGGGAGAATCGAAGAGACGCAGGTGATTAGCGTGACGGGATGAAAAATATTTGTACTTATTTTCCCAATGTTTTGAAAGAGTTTTTTTTTTTTTTTTCTTTTCATTGCTTTAAATTCACACGAGAGAAAATGGATGGGGTGACTTTTTCGTTCCACCGACAGATGTGACCTTCTCGTGTTATACATACATAGCGTCGTTGGTATAACAAAAATGAACTGTATATATACAATACATGGTGTTTATTTACCGGAGTAGATTTTTTTTATCCACGTGCGACGACGGATGGGGATAAAAATGGATCAAATATTTGCCCAAAATTGGAGTAAAAAAAAAAAGTCTACATTCCAAGCGTAACGCGAGATAAAACCGATAGGTACGAGAGGGGGGAGGGCCTTTTCAAATTATTATTGTTCCGTCACATCCTTCTGTCCCGGCATTAATTAGAAAACGCCCTAATTGGATGAATGTCGGATGCCCACTTTACCCCTTTCGCACCCCCCGATTGAAGACAGCAAAAAAACGGCAGTGTGAAATAAAGTTCCTTAGCTATCCGTGTGATAACAGCTCGTTTTTTTACCCCCAAATCGAGGTTTAGTCGAATTCCACGCGTTTACATGGCCGCTAATACCAACCCCGTGTGGTACCCAAGCGCGACCAAAATTAACGAGCCGTTAAAAGCAAGTGCGCGCCGTGGAATCTTTTATGACGGCCTACCTCGCGCGCGCATACATATTATAATCATGTGCAGGGAGTATAATTAACTAACGCAAATACTGTAGTCGAGCACAATGCGAGTTATACGTAATGAGTAGATAGGTATGTATGCTCTTTTTCCCCCTACCCCTCTCGCAGTCGCTTGACGCTTTCATTTCGCGGGTATGCCTGATGCAGTGAAAATTCCTATACTCGTCTCCCGACTGTTCTTATCTGTACGGTATATATATACGCTTTGGGTGTGCATCGGAAGTGCCCGTCCGTGGGCGTATATACTTTTTTTTTTCCATTAACTTTGACGCCTCTTTTAAGCGGCTCGAAAAATGAGGTCAAGGGAACAGCACGCCTCGTCGTAAATAATCGCAAGGGCCGGCGTTTCCTCGATTTTCCACCACTCGTCCGAAATGTGTTGCGATCATTATTTTTTTCTTTGTTTCTCTCCCCAATCGGTGCGTGAACGCAACATATCCCTCCGGGCGTCGTTATACCACCTTGATGGCATGTGCTCGGGCGAAAAGTGGCGTGGGGGTACAAACACGAGCTTTTCATTGATCGCACGAGTGTGCCTAGAATGTATCTGCAGTGCACTGTTGAAAGGATTAAGCCTGAACCTCCCGAATGGGTATATTTTGCATCGATTGCGAGTTTTTTTCATTCAATTTTCGCCGGGTAACCAAAACTGCCTTTTTTCCAATTTCAAGAGAAAAGAAAAAAATTTTCTACGTGGCTACACAGATTTTCCGAGTTGGCATTTTTTCCTCAGTAAATTTCAAGCGACTCGTGCCAGTCTCGTCACTTCCTCTATACGTCTTTTCTTTACTCGTATACACACGGCCGTGTTCATTCACTCCTGATTTTATGCTTCACCCGTTTTCGGTGATATTTCGGCTTTCACCTTCGTCGGGGTGTTTTGTACACGTGTAGCTCCGCTGAAGCTCCAGGAAAAATTTGCGAGTTTGCAATGACAAATTTCCCTTCGAGGCTCGGCTATGAAATAAACTACACTCGGTCCAACGCGATATCCGACATCAGATGCCGTCGGTGCATCCTTCGTGTGCTACGATGTATTACCTATATGTATAATCAAGTCTACATCGCACTGTACTCTGGGGTGCAGTTTGGGAAATGAGAAAAAAAAAAAGCAAACAAACGAAAGTAAATCAAAGAGATGTGCACAAGTGATGGCTTTGACAAGTGGTGGTAGGTATCTACAGTCCCCGTACCCTCTGCAGTTAATCCAAATTCACTTTTGGCCTAGTTAAAGCCCCACTCCTCTAGTGGCCGCTGCCTCGAAATTGCCAAAGTAAGCTTTTCCCTCCTCGAAAAAGTCCTCGATAACTTTGAACGATTCTCGAAACATCCAATTGTAATTTATGTAAAAAAACGCAATTAAGCCTCGACTAGTGTATACTTAGCAGTCGCCCAACTAGAAAAAAAAAAAAAATATATCCTCAGTAAGTCTTGGAACGAATCAACAGCCGACAAAAATAAGTTATCTCAGTGAAATATTGAATACGATTCTTACTTACGCACGTAAAGTTACGGTTGTATCCTTTTAGCTACAACTAAACTCAGAAACAAGATAGAAAAAATACTCACTTGAAGATCTAGTGAAAGCTGCAATGCCTAGCTGTAGAAATCAAAATTAAATTAACATTTTTAATCGCAACACGATCCATTGACGATTCGAGAACGGATTAAAATTTAAATACAATTGCTTGGCAGGGAAATTAAATATTCTAGAACCCGCACTATATTTGTTTAACATAGTAATAAAATTCCATGTTTGTGAATAATTTTCGAGGCAGCAAGAACCAATCGCAACACCAAATCATCACTGCTAAAAAAAAAAAAATTCCTATTTGTCAAAATCTCCGACGAAGAATCAATGGGATCGAACCCC